CAAATACAAGTAGCTGCTTGAATACACAATTCTTTATATGGGCCAAAATGTCTGTGGAACCATCTGCCACAATGCTATTAAACAGATGGGAACGCAACTCAGTTTAAATCATTGTTTAAAATAATTGTAATATAATAATAATTTTAGTACTCTAAAATAATTATTTAATAAATAGTTTTAAGGTAGCAAATGCAACCAATTGTGACTAGCGCCATTAATAAATGTTCAAAACTTGTCGCGCTGGGATAATAAATAAAATAAATAATATTAAAAAAATGTACATTCAAAAATCAGAAATAGATAACCATAAGATAATACTTATTTTTGGAGTAGAACATTTAAAAAATTTAATAACAATTAAATTAAATTGATTTAAGCATTAGTAATTAAACTAAAGTGTTAAGAATTAACAGGATAATTAAAGTTATAGTTAGCCAAAATTGGTGTTTGATTATCTTTCAGTCCCTTCTCAATAATAAACACTAAATTGCTAATTAAAAACTTGACGTAATAATGTTCAGTTGCAAGCATTTTCGGGTCATCAAATTCTCTGTCACAGAAACTTAATGTGGTCCCCTCTTCAAAACAGCTTAGTATATTAAATAAAGGACGTCATTTTTCTAATTTCATTTGTGACTTGTTGGCTCAAAATGGTTTCACGTCTTTACTTCAATGCTTTGCGGGCCAATTAAAAGCGATTAGTTTCATATTGCGCGCCATTTATATTATTTTTATTATTGCTCAATGCGAGTTCTGTGTTTCGAATGGCTAAAAGTACGAAAACCTTTTTGAATTCTGTGGTAATTAATTAGCCTGCCCATTCAAATTGCCCAGCGGTCCCAGGCACTCACTTTTCACGGGACTGGAAAAGCTTTTCGGCAATGCACGTAAGCGTTTACCTATAATTTTATGACTTTATGTGGCGGGGCCAGGGGCGGGAAATAGCGGGTGGACTTGGTGTTGCCTGTAAACAAAGTTTTTGTTGGGGCCAAAAACTTTTCTAATTATAATCTACATAACTTAAATTTGCAAATGAGACGCGAGGGCAAAGGCACAAAAGTTTACCGCTGCCAAGGCATGTGAAATTAAATTATGTCGGTGTCTACGCCATGTGTGTTTGTGTAAAACAAAAACAGCTGTTCAGAAAAAAAAAATGTAAATACGCAGACACACATTTATATTTAAGAGTCAAAAGCAATGCAACCAACGAAATTCAAAATTGAAAACATCTACAGTTGAAATGGCAGCCTTTGTACAATTTTTTTGATTGCTTCATTTAAATACACATACTCATACTTAGGGAAATGTACTTTGGAGGCATTTCCTTGGATTCGAAAAGTGGCTACCAACTTTCTGCGTTTATCTTGAAAAATCATCTAATCTTAGCTAGACTTCATATTTTTCTCAACGCTAAGCTGGCTGCCATCTAAATGTCTATGGCTTTTGTGTACTGTTCTGAAAAAGAAAAACTCTAAAAATGATAAAACATTTTACCAGAAAACTAAAACCTTTCTTGAAAATATGAATAATAAATATAATTGTTATATAAATAACAAATATTCACCATTTATTTATTTTAAGAATTGTAAAATCAATTCATATAATTTTTTAGCTATGGTTAATTTTTGATAAGCTTAATTAATTTGAATTTGTCTTTATTAGTTCCTAAATTATATAGTTGCAAATATGCCTGTTGAATTGTTATTAAATAGATTCCATTTCAATTTATGTATATTCTAATAAGTGATATCCATTTTAGTATTTTCATACTTAAAAACAGTATGCCAGCTATCCAGTATTCGCCTTGGTGATCCTTTGAAAACTTGCACACAATTTATAGTCTGAATTTAATATTGATATAACTTGTAAATTATGATTGCTTTCCCATCTTTACCAAAGATTCCAATTTTTTTTTTGAGAAATTGGTTTTAAAAACACAATTACCGAGCCGCACGAGGTATGTGTGTGTGGTTGAAAGCTATTGGCTTCCTTCTTACCAAACACCCTTGGGCATATTTTAGAGGCTCATGTGACAAATTGCGGCAGCACGTGTATCGCATGCTCATTTCTGGAATATGCCAGGTCCTGTTCCCGCTGATACGAGTATCTCTTAGTTGCGCACACGCTGACAAATCCAATTCATTCTCCGCCGCCTTACGTGGCGTATACGTAATGGGCCAGCAACTAAAGGTAATGTGATGGGTGCTACGCTACCTGCCATCCACTCTGATTTCGTGTTTATGCATGTACACTCCTCAAATTGGCTCCCACTTCAATCATTTCCAGCTGCCTCGTTATTTTTTTTAGTTTTCCATTTGCTTGTTTCGCCGGCGGTCCATCAAGTGGAAGGCAATCGAAAATTGGCGCTTCGCAACAAAATGCTCAATGTTCAGCAAGAAATGGCCGGACTTCACTTGGCCGGAATGATATTGTTGCACCGACATGGACATGGGCATGGGCATCTGCATCGGCATCGGCATCGGCATGGGCATCATCCAGCAACTGGCAACAATTACGCGCCGCCTTAATTGCCACATACACACACTCGCTAACAGGAGGATGTTGGAAACACGCCAACAATAACAACACAATTGGGCAGACAGGGGCGGATCGGGCTGGGCATCGGACCTGAAATCAAAATCATTGGTGTAAAAATAAACTAATTGAAGAAAAATTTCATTTGCAGCACCGGCAGCAAGAGCAGCAGAAACGGCAGAAAAAGCAGGAACAGAGCCACTCGACGCACCGCATCTTGTTGCATTTGACCCGGGGTCAAGTTGCAGGCAGGCCAGGCCACGGCACACATGCCGGGCCACATCCTCGCGCCGGAACAGGAGACTCCCGAGAAGGGGACAGTGGACACTGGACAGTGGACAGTGGACACGGGCACGGGACACGGACACCGGGGAGTCCGGTGCGACGTGTGCTTATTTATCAGTTGAACCAATCCCCGCAACCGCACAGTGGCTATATGGAATTATCCCATGGCAACAGCGCTTTTTGCCAAATGCAATTGTGATAATTTTAATCAGTTTAATGAGGAATTAGGGTCTCTTTTCATCATAATATTTACGAAAGTCAAAATGTGTTAAAAAGTTCAACCACATTTACATTACATTATCGGAGTTGACGTCTTTAAATTATTTATATGGGCAAAATTACTTTTTTTAAATATGCAGACTTTAAGTTATGATAAGTTTTTTTTATAGATATTCTAAGATGTACTCGCCCAGCTCAAAAAAAAAGTTTAGTAGTCAAGTAAAATATTTCTTATAATTTTAAAAGGCAATATGTTTCTGCCTAGGAGCAATAAAAGCATTGCCCATTTTATCAACAGATATAAGAAATTATAAATTTAACAAGAATCTTAGTTAAAATCAAGATAGATCTCAAAACAAATATGCCCACTTGCAATTCTATAGGCCCAGGTAACAAAAACGATGAGACGCTATTTAGCATGTTATGTTCTTGTTAGCAAGGGCTAAAAATATTATAATTTGTTTGTTTTTTTTTAAATAAACCTTCGCTTCTTAGACAGCACTAGAATCTTCTATCTAGGTCTCAATACTCTAGCTCTTATAGTTTATCGATAGTTTATTGGGCAGATAGAAGGCAAAACAGACGGACTTGGCAAAATGGACTTGATGGATGATAGTGATCAAAAATGTTTATACTCTTAAGGTTCGATAACTTATCTTTCCACCTGTTACATACATTGCAACGATTGGAGTTCTAATATATAATTAGCATTTCTTAATATTATACTGTTGCAGCTATTACTTTTGTTTTGGTCCACTGTGCAGGTAGGAAGGTCCCTTAATGCCTGGCGCACTTCGGTGTACTGTCCTTGTCTGGGTAATATTTTCAGGGAGTTGCCTGCCGCCCGGCTAACTATCGGAATGAATGCATGAAAAACTACGAAACGGTAATGTGCAGTTGCCACGCAGCAGTGGACCAACGACAGCAGCAACAGCAGCAGCAGATGTTGCTGATGGAGCCGCCCTGAGTTGTATGCTACACTTTTTGCACAACACATTCGATGGCATTCGTGCGATAGTGTGAGTGGGCGAGGGCGTGGCACATATCCTTGACTGTTTATTTGCCGCTGCCTACTAGCTGCCAGCGGCTTACGCGTTTCCAATTCTGTTGCAAAAGCCGATGTTGCTGTTGCTCCCAGCGTTGTTGTTGCCGTTGTTGCCGTTGCTGCCGTGCAGTTGCCAGCAGCAACAGTTGCGTGTAGATAGATGGACAGCCATCTGGCTGACCGTAGATATTGCAGCTTGTTTGCGTGCGCACAAGCAACAAAAGCGGCAAAAAATATATATGAAACACACTCAGGCTTCGCCGAATGGTTTTTCAAATTTTTCACCTAATTGGCAGCCAGCCGATTGTTTTTCAAGTGTGAATTCATCGTGCGAATTACAGTTATTATTGATACGAATCAATGGTCTATATTGGCTTCATTTTTAATGAGTGTATTCAAGGGTCTTCTGGGGAAATCATTCAATAGCAAAGTTACGAAATTGATAGTCGATTCCGTGCTAAAATATAAATTCATAATAAAGTACTGGTTTTCATAAAATCGAATAGCAAAAAATCTAAATCTTTTGTTTAATAAAGTAAATTTTTCCACAATGTTTATTCCTAACAGGATTCTATTATTATTTAATTAATAATTTGATTGAATATGTTTGTCAGTAGTAGTAATATTACTATGTTTGAGTTGTATTTTAAAATAAATAAATAGATACATATTCTTAAAAGAAAGTAATATTTTAGATTACTTGAAGCACCTATTATCTAAGACACCCATAATTTTAAATATAAATTAATTTATCACTTTAATTTTAATGGATGTGGGAGGCAAAGCATCCCTAGATTATTAGGTAATTTGAAGCCAGAAGGCTTAAGCTTTAGATTTTAGAAAATACTTTCCAGACACTTAATCCACCAAAATTTAAAATTGAATTCTTTTCTACACTTTTTGACCTAGTCACAAATCAAATCTGTGATTCTTACGTTGGATAAGAAAGAGGAGCCACTCCCTCGTCTGAACTAATTTCTTTCACGCTGCGGTCTGAGTTATGGAGCTTAAATTGGGCAGCCCCCATCCCCTGGCGGCGACCAAGAACCACAAAATTTGCATCTCACCCAGACTTCGTACCGCCCCACCGTCCCAGTCCATCTAGTCTATTTCGTTTCGCTTCTGGAAGTGTGGAGGCATCTACATAAATGTGGCTTTTCATTAAAATCTAAAAGCATAAATCTAAAAAGTGAAACCAACAATGCCCGAGCAGACACAGGCGGACATCTGCGGTGTGCACCACCCCTGCTCCTCGTGATTCCACAGGATCTGTGGGCTGACTGCTTTATGCCTTTCTTCCTTCCTGTCTGAATCTGTGTGTGTGTGTTGCTGTATCTGTGTGTGGGTTTGTCGGGGTGTGCGTCGCAAAAACTAATTGAATTTTGAAATTCAAGTCGAAATTAAAAAATTACGAACAGCCGGCCGCATTTGGCAATCGCTGGCCGAAATAAACTGTAAAACGGAAATGTATTCGGCAGGTGGAAATTGAAACTGATTGAATTGTAAAGTGAAGCATAAAATGCTTTTGCCTGCGTTGTTTTTGTTTACAGCCGCTGGCACGCCCACCATCCACCGCCCACCGCCCACCGATTTTCCCCAGTTGTTTTTGTTTTTGTATAATTTATGGTTTTCGATTTTAATTTGCGCACTTAGGCGCGTATTTTATGGGAGCTTTCTTCATTTTTTTTTTGCATATTTCGACGCGCCTTCTGTGTTTTGTCACAACAAAATGTGGGAATGATTTAGAACGAGAGTTGATTAAGGAATTTAAATTGGTGAAAATAAAAATGATTTTCGAGTTCTAAATTTATACCGCAACATAATATTTAAATATTATAAAGCAGAAGGAATACACTTTTTAATTATATATCCCTTTGAGATTTACTTAAACAAAAGAAGTGAACCCTTCCAAAATACATCCTAAAATAAGTTTTATTAAAAATACATTTATTTCAGTTAATTTTTAGTAATATTTCATTAATATAAATAAAAAAAGACTTTCAAACTTCAGTTGGTTTCCAACTTACCTACAAATGGATATCTGCCCTCGCTGGAAACTCTAAGACATATGCATTATGATTAGCGACCGTAATTGAAGTTTAACTGCGCGTGTAATAAAAGCGATTTTTGGCCATTTGCAACGCATTAAAACCATAAATAATACAAGGCGACTGTGTGAAAATAAAGACACGCGATATGTTGTGTTTTCGAAGGGCTTCGCCCATTTCGCAAAAGAAATCCGAAAGCATTTCTCAAAACAGGAGAAAATACGGCACAATTTTTGATGAGTTGAGGATTTGGGGCACGCGAAATGGGCGCGAGAAAATGTGCGAAATGCGATATTGTAGCAAGGCATTAAGAACGTGCTGGCATTACCAAACCTAGACCGACTTATATGCGTTTGTATGGAGGTGGCGGGAAATGTGGATGTGCTGTAGACCGCAAACAAACGACGGCGACTTATTCATTGCGCTTGCCATTAAGGTGGCTCTCGCTGCCATTTGGCCATGCCCACTGCCACTGCCACTGCCTTTTTCCACCCCCTCCCTCCGCCAGGGTGATATATAACACGCTCATAATTGGTCATAAATCTGACAAATGTAATTTGTCATCACTCAAGCAGCTAGGAAACCGGGGCCAGCATCACCGCAATCTTTCTCAGCACCAAAAAAAGGACAAAGGTATTTTCCGACTTACAGATACCTAGTGTTTTTTCAACGAAATGCCATCCTTGAGAGCATTCCATACCATTAATATATTTTTCAGGGCTTCATTTTATATTATCAAAAGTATCGTGAATCATACAATGCCATCAAATGATTACTATTCTATTTTTCGTAGTTTTTTGTATAAAATAAAATTTGTTGAATTTTTTTGCTAAAAGCAGTTCAGGGTTTTATATGTACCATATGGATACATCATATTTATTATTATATATATTATTATTTTTTAAAAATATAATCCTCTCGGATGACAATATTTGAAATGATTTGATAGTTATTTAAGGATTATCCCCATAAAAACATACATTTAATTTAATTAAAATTTTAAGTAAAATAAAAAGAAAGCTGTTGTCAACTTTTATTGTCTTATATATTATATTTAAGTATTCTGGATATTCATGTTAAATTTAACCTTTTTTTAAAACATATACACACTTTTATTAGAATAAGAGATTGTAAATTAAATTACAGTCATAGCTGAAAAATATAATATTTCAAAGGTTTTAAGCAAAATATATGCCTTAGCGTACTTTACACTTTTTAAACTTTCAAAAGCTTTAATCCACATCTAAAATTGTTTTAATATTTATTATTTTTTTGTGTATAATACACCCACACCGAGCCGTATATCCTTTGAACTTCCTGGAATGGGAATAACCCTGATTCCTTTGGCTTTTCCCCAATCCCCACAGTTCCTGCTTTTGGCCCAGTTGGTCGACTTGGTCATGCGACGAGTATACTGAAGTGCCAAAATGAAAAAGGTGCTTGACACAAAATGTCAGCTGGATATTTTTTATTACACAATCACAACATACACCCACACGTACGCACACACACACACACTCGGACACCTTCGAATATGCCCAGAAGCCGACTGTGTTTTTGTTTTAGTTTCCGCTCGACACCCACACATAGACAAACAATATTTTCGGGCAGTCCGCACATAAGCCACAAAGTAGTTACTTTTTATGCTCTCGACTCGCACACACTCATAATCGGACTTGGGCCCCGATTCTGATTGTTTTCCCCAACGCTCACTTGAGCTCGTAAATATTTTACAAGTTTGGCCCGGTCCCCACTCCCGGAACTAACTGAAGCTCTTGTAGATGACATACGACGCTTTTTTGGGGCTCGTTGAGTTCGAGACCGGTCCAACATCTACATTTCGTTATAAATGACTTTCAAAGGGCCTAAACGTTGTAAATGGAGTAAGTGCGTGTTTCTGGTCAGAGCATCGTCATGAACATTAAGTTTAAATGGGCGGCAGCAATCAATAGGCCATGATAATTTATGACGATTAATTCACAAAAGTTGAGAAAGTTGTCTAAAAATATGACTTAATATCAAACTTTCAGTTTTTAGTAGAGGTGGAAAATCAAGTAAATATAATTGTAAATTGTTTGCAATATTGATAAGAAAATACAGCGTTATAAAAAAGGGGTTCAGTAGCACACTTTTAGGCAGCATTATAATATTTAAGCAAACAAATGTATTAATAATAATTATAATAATATTAATAATTATTCACCAGTAAATCTTAAAATTCAATTTCTAAACTTCAGTTATTTAAATGATGAAGAGTGGCGAGGGGAAGCATCCAACCGTAGTGCATCATCCATTGGAGAGTCACATAAATAACCGTCAATATCAGGAGGTAGAAAAACAGGGAAATGCGAAACTCATAGCCACTCATTGCGATGTGAAGCAGACTGGTGGACACGATGAGAAAAATGAAATAAATGCCTGTCTCCGTTGTGGCCGTGGTGATTTTCTGGAGACGAAAATAAATCAGTTTACCAAAACCAAATTAATAATATAATTACCCAGCAATTGGTGTTGTAGCATCCCTGGTAGTACAGGAGGGGAAATGCCAAGAAGACCGCATAGGTTACCATGCTCATCACGACTCCGAAGGTGGCATCCCACATCTTCATCTGCTGCAAACACCTGACCACAATAGCCTCGCTGAACATTTCACCGAATCCAAAGTACAACAAGGCCGTGACATCGGGCATCAGATCGAAATGTATGCTTATATACTGCCAGGTGATGTTGTCTATCTCACGACTGAGAAAACTCATGGCAACTGAGCTGATGATCAGCCCCAGAAAAGTAAAGATCCAAACATTATCGGGTCGCCTCAAGGAGTGGGTGGACATGAAGGTCAGGATGCTGAGAGTCCAGCAAACCATGAGCAACATAATCCATCTGACAGCCATGAAGCCATGGGGAAGTCCAATAAATGGCAGGACGATCAGACAGAGGCAGCTTGTATATTTGGTCCACCCAACCAAATAGCGGTCTTTGGATATGACAGGGACAAAATTAGATATTATAAAATAGATGGGCATCTGTAAAAGAAATTATGTTTTAAAGTCAAATAACATATAACAAATTAAACAGTTAAACTTAAAGATTTTTAAATTATTATATCCGGGGATCGGTATATATATGTATTGAATATATATTTTAAGTACTTTAACGATTTGTATATACCTTGAGAAAAAACATATTTAGGTATTTATATAAACATTTATTTTTAAAATTTAAATTTGCCTGATACCAGAAAATTATTTATTTTATTACTTATAAATGTTAATTTGATAATTACCTTTAATTCAAAAAAGGAGTTATGTTGGTTATAAATAAATAAGTGTCGGTAGTTACCAGATACTAGATGTATCTATGTAGAAAATTCTTGCACCTATCCCAAAACTAATTAATAGATTGAATGATATGACTTAATTGAATGATTTGGTTACCCACCATTAATATCCTATATATCACATGCGAGTCCTTCATGTTTTTGTATCCATTCACCGTCTTTAACCAAAGTTCACGTCTGGAAAACACTCTTTGCTTCTGGTATTTGCCTAAGACTTCATCCCCGCTATCCATATCCCAAAATAAGTTTGATCTTGGGTTTGCTTTCCGGGCACTTTGTTGAAATGTAGCGTACGACACGACCAGGACTACCAATAAAACGATCACAAAGGTGTAGAGAAACACAGTCACCCGAAATGTGAGCAAATATGAATCTGTATACTCTGGATCAATATGGTATGATTTCTTGGTAACGACAAACAGGTAGCCCAATCCGATCAAAATGAATGTCATGCAGGACCAGAGGGTGACTCCATCAGCTCGATATCCTTGCATGCAGATAACCATAACGCCCATCACAAAGTATCTCATAATGTCTCCCACCATTTTCGAAAAATGCAAGGGGCTCATGTTAAATTTCGGAAAATAACATACCCCACAGAAACTGTTATAGTAGGATACAAAAAAACTTGGACCAAAGAATAGAAAACTGAATCCGAACATTGTCAAGGGTGCAAATTCAATGAGCGTCACTAAATTAGGAACGAAGCTGCAAGAAATCATCAACAAAATATGAATGAAATGTCATATTTTAAATTACCTACAAATATTTTGTCACCATGAATAGCAGACTAAATTGTATCACCAATATAACAGCACTTATGACGCCATATGCTACCATTTTGTGCAGATTGAATTCGCAGAAGAAAATCTCTAAGTAGTTAATAAGGTGCACAAACGATCCACAACTGAATGTACTCTTTGCAAGATCACAAGTCTGATTGGCAAGTCGAAAAGATTCATGTGGCAGTGAACAGCGTTTCTGGAAAAAAAACATTAAATTATTCTGAAATTTTCACCTCTTGAGTACTTGCCACTATTGAGAGGTTTACGAACGACATAATTAATTAGTTAATTTTTGATAATTCGTATTTTATTTGAACACGTTTGCTAAGGTGTCTGAGCTGCAGCTAAAATTTGTTATTATCGTCTTCCCTTTTTAAATATTTGCAAATTGAATTTGGTATTATTTTTAACAAGAAAGGAACCAAACTTAGGCTAGTCAAAGCTTATACATATACCCTTGCAGCTGTTACAAAAATTAAATATTCTATATTTCGATGACGTTGCTTAAAAACAATAAAGATAGGTCAAATTTCCTATCAATTTTTCGATCATTTCTATTTTTTGAAATTACCCAAAAATATTATATCTCTTTTTTAATCTTAAGTTACAATTTTATTTATCTTTTTTCCCGATTGTTTATACATATTTAAATATATTTCTATAACTAAATACATTTAAAATAGATAATTAATACTTTGAAAATATATGTCATTAAATTATTTTTTTACCAAAATACATTTAAAATTATATTTTTAAATTAAAATCTATTAACTAATATTTATACGGAATGGGAATAGATTTGTATGAATAGTACCAGATTTCAATTCAAAGCCTGCAGTCAAGCTTAGATTGGCTCAGTAAATTATTTTTAGTGAATTTATAACTAAAGAAACTGAACTACTAAGTTTTCCAACAAAATAATGGATTCCAATGGCCTCACGGCGTCAAGGTGCAGATGCAAATGCACTGCCTTCGAAATGGGTCATCATAGGGTTCATGTGCGATCGCCGTCGTCATCGTCAACGTGACGATGCTCAAGTACGCGGCACATCTCTCCACAGTCGTTATTTATCTTTTGTGATTGCCCGGCCCCAACAGCTAAAGATTCGAATTCCTGCCGTAATGAAACTTGATGCGACACATTTGGCAAATTGCCGTCGCATCAACGGCAGGCATCAACATCGCCCGAGAACATGATATTCAGCTTTTCGGGCTCCAAGAGAAAATCCGAGAAGTTTTCGAGCTCGTCTCAATTAGCGCCAATTGAATTATTACACGGCGGCACTCATTCAATTTTCAGCTATAGGGGAACAGGCGCACTTCTGATATTCGAGTGCGACATGAGTGCGGATTCGACTGGATAAAGGAATCACGCAATCACCCTACCTCAGTAAAACTTTATCGGAGTTCGTTATTCTTTAAAATTTAATAAAAGTAAGATCTACTTTTAAAAATTATTGAATAAGGCGAAATTTCCTGCAATTGGGTTAAAAATGCCTTATTCAGAAAATGTAATATTGTCTCAAACAAGTTCTCAGCATTTTTAAGTAGTTGGATTAAGAATGTTTGTTGTATGCGTACTTGGCATAAAAATTCTTACCTACCGTACGATTTGTAGCATTCGTTCTTAATTTGTCAACAAATTATCTGATTTAGAGATATGCCCTCCCATCGAATCGTAGCGCATCGTGCCACACATTGCCACTTTCCTCGGATAAACGCGTCGCAGTTGTGCCGCCTGTCACCAGTTCGTCCGCACCACGCGATCAGTTGGGATCAGTTGAGATTCGACGCGATCAAGATGAGATCCTGGTACTTGGTACTCTGCCTGCTGCTAATCGCAGCATTCACATTTCAGCCCGCCGAAGCTCGGGGCGGAAGGGGGCGTGGCGGCGGCTCGTTCGGCGGCCTCTTCGGTGGATGGCGCAAGTACAAGAAGCCCTCCTCGTCGGGCGGTGCGCGGCGGGTGGTGAGCGGATCGCCGGTTCACACGGCCATGACGGTGCCGAAGCTACCGCCGCCGCCCCCTGCACCGCCGAAGCCGATGATGCCGCCCAAGCAACAGATCCCCAGCTATCCGCGCCAGCAAATGCCAGCGGGCTACGGATACGGGTCGCATCCTGGCCAGGGAAGCGGGACGTACTACGCCAATGCACAGGCCCTGCCCGCAGGAGCTGTCTACTACGCCCAACCACCTGTGGGAATGAACAGGGGACTGGGTGAGTACCAGGGGCAAAGTAGCATTAGATTGCAGTATATATAGATCACAAACCTACATAAATAGTTCACTCTGAACAAATTGAATTTTTAAAAAATATAAACAGACTGTGTGCTGAAAATAGAACTTATGATTCTTATGGCTATATCCTCAATGAAACTTACATACATAACATACATATTAACATCCGTCTTCTGGCTAAACGAATTACCTAAGTCTATGTCATATTTTTCTAGCAATTGATATACATATATAAAGTACCAAAAAATAATATTCAGACCACATTAAATGGTAAAATTTATATCAATAATTATATTCTTCTTATTATAATAATTAACAGACTCAGACATAATTACATGAATACTTTTAAAAAATATGTTGGTCAAAAATAGAGCTTAATATGCCAATAAATCATTACATTAATTTCTTATTTATGTTAGCTTGGAAGCAGAAGATTGCTTTTATTCGTATAAAAAAACATACTTAAAATGAACCAGTCATGGAAATTAAAGATTATCATCTTTTGAAGTCAAGCACCATCAGTGAAATACTGTGTCCATATGCACCGAACCAGTTCGAAATTTTAAAGTGTCCCTTATGTTTTTGTAATTTCAGGAACGGGTGATTTCCTCACCGGAATGCTGGCGGGGCACATGATGAACAACCTGCTGTTTGGCCACCGACATCATGTGTACCACAGAAATCAGGAGGGAGGACCGTCACCTCAGGGAAATGGTCGCCAGATCATCATCGTCAATAATGGTCAACAGGAGGGAGTTTTGCAGAACGAAACCACTATTTCGGGGGAAGCCTCCGCTGTGGTGCCCCCCGAAAATCCACTCACTGAGGAGGAGGAGGAGGAGCCGGAGGAGGGGCTGGGCGAGGGGGAAAGTGAACCCGTTTCTAGTGAGGAATCCCCAGAATTTGAGGCAACTTCTCAACCCTATCCAGATGGTGGCATAATTTGCTTCCCCATCACTTTGAACGAAACAGATCCCCAAAACTCAGAGGTGATGCGAGAAGTGGAGCGGGTGGTTTGCTTCCCAGCACCGCCCAACAATCCGGACCAATTCCAACCCACCGCAACCACTGAGCCACCCATTGTTGCCGGCGATATTGTTGGTGGTGCAGAGGATGGGTCGCACGGTGGTGCAGGTGACGAGGTCAGCAATGCCAATGCCGGTGCCCCTATCGAGGTGGCCAACTTTGTAGCAGCAAGAGCCGCACAAGTCGAATTGGACTCCTAAGATTTTAGCTAAGTGAAATAAAGTTAAATAAACATAATAACTTATTTGCAACTTCAATTTATATTTTCTGGTAAAACACACATGTGTGTTTAGAACTAAAACAATAATGATGGTAGCACTGACAAGCAAATGGAAAATGCTAAACTTTTTAGCCTCTTGTAAAAGAACATCTTTCCAATTCATAATAACAATTTTTTAAAGAAAAACTATGTTATGACATTAAGGATAACTTATTTTAAGGCATATAGTATAGAAACCAAAAATGAAATTAATTTGTGACGTTGTGTCAATTTTGGCATCTAATAAAATGTATTAAATTTACCCTTAGGTGAAATTACATTATTTTATGAAAAAAAGAATTTATTTTCGCTTACAAATGAATGACTTTTTACAATTACAAGGTAATTAAATACCGTTTGTTTTTCTATGTGAGCCGTTTCAACAAAACGCTTGGAAACACAAATACGGCAATACAAAAAATTCGTCAAAGATTTATTCTAATTAAAATAATGGAAGAAAATTAATGATAACAATGGTTCCGTATGTGTTAGAAGCTTAAATACGTGAATGAACCTATTATATACTTAAGTGTCGAAATCATTTCTAAGAAAGATTAGCAGAAATCACCAAAGTCATTTGGCATTGAACGTACCTATTAAAACAGAAATCACAATAACTTAAGCCCCTTGTATTATATTTAGTTATTTCACCGAAGATAAGATTTCAGGTGATTTTCAGTAAATATTATCAATTTTTTTTTTTTACATATACATATTTGTGCTTGTGGAACTGACGTATATGTTAACAGTAGCTTTTAACCAAATTAAAAACAATATTTCAACCATAATCACGCAAAAGTGACGCAAAACATAAGACTATGAATAGAACCCACGTCACTGACGCCCCAGTGCACCGTCCTAATGTTAACCTTTTATTAGAAGACTTGTCTATGTAAAAGCACACTTAACAACACACTGGAAATAACTTTACACTTAGTATATCATATTATTTAATAGGTTTACATTTTTTGTTTAACAGGTCGAAGTGTATACCAGGTCAAGCTTACCATATAAAACAAAAAAGTATATTCACCACGATTTACTTGACATTTTGACTCTACAACCTCATAAAAACATTAAATTATAAAACCCTACTCTTTATTATTTAAAATATCGAAAGAAAAATGTATGTTCGCAGATCCAGTTTTAAAACTCAGCTGATTGGCGAAATATCACATGACAGCATTGTTTTCGAAGTATTATGCGAATATCTCGATGGTTTTCCCTTCTAAGAGCCCTTGAGTTAACTATTCCTACAGTTTTCTTATATCTTTTTGAACAATCATCAATTTTTGGTATAACTGCAAAGGTATTACAATTTTAACTTGCCGAAGTTAGTTTTCAATCTCATTTTAGTTGTAACTTTTTTATTCTTCTGTTTATTTAGCTCGAATTTTAAACATAAGATCGCAGTGATAATTAGGTCAATAAGTTTAAGTACAAAGATGGGGAGAGTGGGTAAATATATTTAAAAAAGCTTAGACCAACATCGCAACTATAATTAAAGTGGCTTATGATGTAACGTGTAACGTTCGACTGAAGTGCTGTGTTATAAAGGATTCCACTGATCTGTATTGGAGGGGCACCCTATAGGGTCCGGCACTAGCTCGTCGGCTTGGGGGGTGGAGGTCTTGCTCGTACAGATCGGCCACTGTCTACGCATTACTATTATTAAATCTAGAATTGAGCGAGCTTGCGACAAAAATAAGAAAGCTAGTTGACTAAACCGGAAGAAAAAGATTTATAAATTCAAATAAAAGACTAGAGAAGCTAGAGGAGAGTTTGAGGAGAGAAAAGTAGAAAAGAAGAGAGACTGAGAGAAGCTTAATGTTTGGGAAGCCTGAGATGTAATGGGGCTCGCATGTTTGCCCACCCTACCTATGATCTCCTGCCGCTAGAACATGACTCTGGAGATCCCTTTTATACCCTATGTTCGTCGAGACATCAGCTGAGTTCAGTAGAGTTATGTTTAAGCTATCATTTTAATTCAGATAAATCACAACATTTTAGGAACAGGTGTATGTAAACATATTTACAAAAGGTAAATAAATGCAATAGCAATATTATTGTCCGATAGAAATATTAATACAAAATTTATAATAAAGTAAATAGTAAAAATAAAATTTAAATGTATGGATAAATATGGTTGTATTATATAAGCATGGGAATTTCAATAATAATTCGGGATAAATTTAGAATTTAATTTAATTTTTACTTCAATGGGTGTCTTATTTTTCTCATTCAAAAATGCTCTTAAATAGTAATTAATAGCAAATGTTTTAGCTTAATATAGCATAGCGCTTGGAGTTACGTTAACAATAATCGGGGTAAAATTTTAATAATTAGTTTTCTCCATGCAGGGCAATTTGTGTTTCAAAAAAAAGGTGTGAAGGTAAATAAATGTTGTAAAAGAAACTTATCCATCGGCGACGGATCGATCTCCCGGTGTGGTGTGCTGAAAAAGAATTCTAGGATGTTTTGTAACACCCCATATTTTTGGAATAACTCACTTTCACACGGTAATTTTAGAGAAATGGTTTTAGATAAACTTTTGGCCCATTTTATCCGATATTTTAAACGCGTATCACCATCAGAAATTTAACATTTAAATAATAATAGATTTTAAGAAAATTATTCTAATAATTGTTATAGCTAGGTTGATCTGGAAGATAAAATTATTTCTAGAAAAATGAGGCAAATAAAGCCGAATTGATTTGGTTTCAATTTATGTTAAATTAAGTTTCGATTTTTTTTTGATCAGAAGTCTTTTTACATCTTGAGCTTGGTTTTAGAACAAAATCGTATCGAACGCAGATTTTCTAGGATTAAAGCCCTTTAAATAGAAGGCCGAAACATGAGGCCGACAACAGCAGATGGTTAGCGGACGACGGTAAATGCACTGCGCGCATGAGGTTAGGCGGTAGAGGTCAGCCGGACAGAGGTTAACACTGCACGCGTTGTTGGGGCGGCCAAAACCATTACACAATCACACACGTTTAAACCATCCCGAGTCGCACTGCGGTTTATACAACTTTCTGGGCGTTGTACATGATTTGGGATGATTATTTTTCTATAACCCCCACGGGGTTATTATGTGTGCCGCTGGCGGTAGTTTGGCTGAAGTCCCCAAAAAAAAACTGCTTAAGTTGACGGATTTTCCATTAAACTTTTCCGGCGAAACTGATGCTTGAGATGGCTGCGCATGCACATAGGTACCTACCTGTTGTTGTTGCATGCGCATGCACATATGTAGGTGCGCCGATGGCGTTAGGTTTGGTTTATGCACACATATTTATGCTGGGGGTGCTCCCGGGGACATCGACTTATTTACTGCTCTCGCGGGCACAATCTAAAGAATTCACAATGATCGGGGTCAGCACCAGATAAAAATGGGATTTAATAATTTTAACCAACCTTCTGAAGAAATGGTGAGGGTGCTGCCGGCCAAATTCGGAAAAAATCCAGAAATACCTTTTTATTTTCCTCCAGCCAGGCAGCCGCCGAGAGTTGCGTTTATATTTTTCACAGATATTTTCGATCAATATTTATATGCCCTGCACGTGGCTTTCACAAAATTGAATTCTTTTTTAAAAGACATCGAAAAGAAATAGACCGGCATCGGAAACGGATGACTTAGGCTGTAAACGGAAATGCCGTGCAGCTGGTGTAAAACCATGTTTAAAACTTGCAGCTTTCCGGAGCCTCCCTGGCTCAGATGGTATTTTCCAAAAACACTAATTACTGCTAATCATATGGGATGCACCTGACTAGTCTCCAAGTGTGAACTTACAGCATCCGTCCGATAAAGCATACATTTAGAATGAACCAAAAAAAACGTTCTTCAGGCGCCGCTACAATGATTAAAATATATCATTAGAAAACCTGACTCTTACTTTGTCATCTATCATTTTGAAGTAAACGGGATATGTCTTGGATAAATTTTCAGAAATGTCCAAAGACGTTTGAAACTAATTTTTTAATACATATATTTTTTATTGAAAACGCCACTCAAGAATGAACCTTGTCTTCGTGTATTTTCAAAAGAATTCTAATGATCCCAAGAATGCGAGTAGCGGGTGCGCCATTCTTGAGCAAATTATGTGTACGGATATCCGGTCATAGTGAATCACGATGTGTGGTTATAGAAGACGCCCGTGACTGTCAGTAAGAGTAAGAGTATTTGAGTTCTCAATTAAAGTTCAGAATTTCCTGGTAAAGTGAATTTAAAAATCCATCATTTAAGTATATACAATAGATACAGATGCTGTCGGCTCCCAAACCCTCCCCATCTCCTCTTACACGCAACTTGAAAGATCGGTTGATAGAATGAGTGATGACGAATAAATATTTTAGTATAAATGTATATTTATTGTATAAATTAAGTTTAAGATTTGATTACACTCTAATAGAGACAATTAGTTAAAAGTGAAAAAGAATTTAGAAAAAAAATGTTTATATTTATGTGGCATATCCGGCATATATGTACAACGAATGTACATTGTATGTGTACCGGTGGTCTTCTTGATCTATTAATGAAGCATAAAAAAATAAAAGCAAAAAAAAAATACTTTATAATTATATAATATATCATTTGGACCTGTAGAATTTGCATAAACATCTTGTCACTTTTCTTGCGAAAAGAGTATGCATAATTTCGGGTGCACGGTGCAACAAAAAACCCTGTGTAGTCAAAACCATTAAAGCAGAAAACTTTAGGACGTGTAGTTACTTAGTGCTTACTTAGTTTTCGTCACAAAACTTTGATATCAACGTTTTGTGTTTTGAAAATGCGATCGTCACGACTTTTTTACTTCGTTAGGAGGTGTTTTTGCTTGAAATCAAATACAAAGAGAAAACGGTTGAAGGCAGAGCACAGAAAAAAATGATCTATAGCTAAAGTTTAGTCTGTATTTCTAGCAAATTGCCTTTTATCTGCGGCCTATTATTACAATTTAAATACAGCTATTTCACCTTTTATTTATATTTATGAATAATATATCATCTTACGAAATAAATAGAACTATATTTACAAATGTAGAGAAAAATGTAACATTATTAGATTAAGTTGTATATCAAATTAATAAACTTAGATTGTTGCAGTGTATTTTTTTTAGTATACTGACCACTTCCACATGGCGACAGTTTGTCTGTGCTTCCTCAGTCGCTGCTCTGCCGCCGATCTGCGCTGCTCTGCAAAAACACTTAAAAGGCGAGCGATCTTTTACTTCAGATCAGTTTTTCGAGAATCCTTGCGCGAAACAAAAGTGAAAATCGCAATCTGCAAAACATCAAACCACGGAATACACAGCAAATCAAAGTAAATATCATACAAATTAGCGTTACATTTATTACATTTAAGAACAAGGACGTTTTGAGTGATTTAAAATTTTTTAAATTTGTTTTTTTTACCAAAAATGTGTATCGTTACTTAATTTTTTTATTAGGTTTATGGAAGCAATCCGAACGTTGTTACTAACTGAGCGTATAACCCATTCCAGAATGTTCCTTTATACGAGGCGGCTCAGTACCTTCGTGTTGGTGGTAGCGCTCATATTATTGGCGCTAACCACCGAGGATGTGCATGCCAAGAGGAATTCCAAAAGCAGCGGCAGCTCCAGGTCCACTTCCAGCAGAAAGACCACTCCGCGCACCACCAAAGCTCCCCCGCGCTCCTATTTGGCTCCTTCGCACCGCTCAGCTCCTTCGAACCATGCTGGTCCTGCGCACCACTCAGTTCCTGCCCACCGCTCGAAGTCGGACAACGAGAGGCTGAGCTACGGAGGTGGAAAGGAGAGCAAGGTGTTCAATCCGCAGACGGTGCCCTCGGTAACCACCTCGCCATTTGGCCGGAATGCCCCGGCCCAGCCCCAAGGACCTCCGCCAGTCTCCTCCCCTAAGGAAAAAAAAACCTCCACCATTCTACACCCCGCCCACCCACAAGAACGGCAGGCCAAATATTCATAGCCCATCCCGTCCAGCCGCGGGGGGCCAGTCCCAGTTCCAGAGGTTCCCACTACGGCGCAGCACACTCCAACACTGGCCACCGCGGTCGCAACAACTCCACGGGAAAATATGGATCGTCGGGTGGCTATCAGCCCATTAAGGCCACCAATGCCCACAAAGTGCAGTCGAGCTATCCGCGCGAGCAGTTGCCACCCGGAGCCACCTACCACCCGGCGGGGCAGATTCCAGCTGGAGCCACATACCATCCGGCGGGGCAGATCCCGGCCGGAGCCACCTACCATCCGCCTGGTCAGATTCCAGCCGGAGCCACCTTCCATCCGGCTGCTCAGATTCCGGCCGGAGCGTCGTACCAAACGGCTGGCCAGGTGCCACATGGAGCCACTTTTAACCCCGGCAGCCATCCGGCCGGAGGCTCATACTATCCCCAGGGACCCGTGGCCGGAGGAGTCCCTCCAGGCGCCACCTTCCTGCCCGCCGGAGGAGCCCTGCCCGCAGGAGCTGTTTTCCATCCACAGGCGCCTCAAAAATCTAGCTCAGGCTTGGGATTGGGTGAGTTTAAGTCCACTTCTGAATAAGGATTATCTTTGCTGACTTGTATTCTGTATTGTTTACAGGCACTGGTCTCATTGCTGGAGCCTTGGGTGGTGCCATCCTGAGAGAAACAATATCATCATCAATCCCTTCAACCCAAACCAGCATGGTGGACAGAGAGGAAGGCGGCGACGACGAGATCACCATTATCGACAACGGAGCAGTCCCACCTGTTTTTGCATCTCCTCCTGCTTCTGACTTCCAGGAAGATCTTGTTGCTGATCCTTCGGCTCTTGCCCCTGAAACTCCAGTTGCCCCTGAAACTCCAGTTGAAGCTGAACCTGTAGTTGATCCGGATGACCTCTATCCAGCGGATCCCAGTTACCCAGTTTATTCTGCACCTGACGCCTCTGCTGACCCCAGTGCCCCGCCCGCTGGACAGAGTATTTGTGTGGTCGTGAAAGTACCACAACCAGATCCGAAGGATCCCACCAAGACGATCGAGGTGGACCAGAGCGCCTGCTATGAAGAATCAACGGCGGAAACTGATCCTTCGGCCATTGGATGGGACTAACTAGCTCCCTTCAAAGCCCTGATTGTAGCCTACTGTCTCAACTAAATGCCCATATCCGCACAATCTATTCCTCGAAACGAATTTTTTTACATGTACTCATATTTAGACTTCAAACCAATAAATGTACTATATTAAAATATTAAAACACAGTTATTAATGTTATTTTTCAAAATGGTTTATGAATTTAGTTTCATTATTTCAATTACGAAAATTGTACAAAATGTATTTGTAAACACGAAAATATAATCATAATTCGTTACAACACTGAATTGGAAATTTTGAAAAGAAATTCACAGTTTACCAAGTATAATTTGTTGTATTTTCACCACAATTTTTATACCCTTGCAGAGGGTATTATAATTTTGGTCAAAAGTGTGCAACGCAGTGAAGGAGACATCTCCGACCATATAAAGTATATATATTCTTGATCAGCATCACCAGAAGAGTCGATCTAGCCATGTCCGTCTGTCCGTCTGTCTGTCCGTCTGTCTGTTTCTACGCAAACTAATCTCTCAGTTTTAAAGCTATCGAATTGAAACTTTGCGCACACCCTTCTTTCCTTTGCACGCAGTATATAAGTCGGAACGGCCGGGATCGGCCGACTATATCCTATAGCTGCCATATAACTGATTGATCGGAAATGCCATAACTTTCGTGTTTGTAAAGTTAGGAAGTTGGGATTTTCTATGGGTCTTATATTTGGCCAATCAATCCGACCTACCAAATTTCATAAGGATCGGCCGACTATATCCTATAGCTGTCATAAAACTGAACGATTCGAAATGCCATAACTTTGGTGTTTTTAAAGTTAGGAAGTTGGGATTTTTTATGAGTATTAAGAATGCATCATATGAATAATTTTGGAGAATATAATTTACAGAGTATTCTGCAAGGGTATATCAACTTCGGCTCCCCCCGAAGTTAGCTTTCCTCTCTTGTTTACTTTACAGATCCGCAGGAGCTGTCTACTACGCCCAACCACCTGTGGGAATGAACAGGGGACTGGGTGAGTACTAGGGGCAAAATAGCATTAGATTGCAGTATATATAGATCACAAACTTAAATAATTCACTCTGAACAAACCAAATTCACTAAAAATATAAATATATATATTAACATCCGTCTTCTGGCCAAACGACTTACCTAAGTCTGTGTCATATTTTACTAGCAATTAATATACATATATATGAAGTATAATAAAATAATATTCAGACCACATTGAATGGTAAAATTGATATCAATAATTATGTGGGAATAGGTCTGGCAGCTCCGTTCAGCCCAACCCATCTCTAATGAGGGGATTTCAAAAAGTATTCAGGAAGAGAAAAAAAGGATTGAACGAGCATTAAGATCGAGAGAAGCGAGAGAAGAAGTGCAAGACAAACGAAGTTGAATAACGACGCGATCGAAATATCCAAAAAACGCAGTTTAACGCGATTTAAATTTATTATAATACCTAAAATTATTATCAGAACTACTTATCACTAATTTCATTTAAATAAAACTATAAGCTTATTATAATAAAACAACAAGTAGTGGGACTTCTTATTTAAATAGGAAAACCAATCCCGCAATTATGTTCATATTATTATAACTGGTTATAACTAAGACATAATTACTTGAATACTTTTAAAAAATATGTTGGTTAAATATAGAGCTTAAGGTGCCAATAAACCATTACATTAATATCTTATTTATGTTAGCTTGAAAGCAGAAGATTGCTTTTATTTGTATATATAAAAAAACATACTTAAAATGAACCAGTCATGGAAATTAAAGTCATGCACCATCAGCGAGATACCGTGTCAATATGCTCCAAACCAGTTCGAAATTTTAAAGTGTCCCTTATGTTTTTGTAATTTCAGGAACGGGGTATTTCCTCACCGGAATGCTGGCGGGGCACATGATGAACAACCTGCTGTTTGGCCACCGACATCATGTGTACCACAGAAATCAGGAGGGAGGACCGTCGCCTCAGGGAAATGGTCGCCAGATCATCATCGTCAATAATGGTCAACAGGAGGGAGTTTTGCAGAACGAAACCACTATTTCGGGGGAAGCCTCCGCTGTGGTGCCCCCCGAAAATCCACTCACTGAGGAGGAGGAGGAGGAGCCGGAGGAGGGGCTGGGCGAGGGGGGAAAGTGAACCCGTTTCTAGTGAGGAATCCCCAGAATTTGAGGCAACTTCTCAACCCTATCCAGATGGTGGCATAATTTGCTTCCCCATCACTTTGAACGAAACAGATCCCCAAAACTCAGAGGTGATGCGAGAAGTGGAGCGGGTGGTTTGCTTCCCAGCACCGCCCAACAATCCGGACCAATTCCAACCCACCGCAACCACTGAGCCACCCATTGTTGCCGGCGATATTGTTGGTGGTGCAGAGGATGGGTCGCACGGTGGTGCAGGTGACGAGGTCAGCAATGCCAATGCCGGTGCCCCTATCGAGGTGGCCAACTTTGTAGCAGCAAGAGCCGCACAAGTCGAATTGGACTCCTAAGATTTTAGCTAAGTGAAATAAAGTTAAATAAACATAATAACTTATTTGCAACTTCAATTTATTTTCTGGTAAAACACACATGTGTGTTTAGAACTAAAACAATAATGATGGTAGCACTGACAAGCAAATGGAAAATGCTAAACTTTTTAGCCTCTTGTAAAAGAACATCTTTCCAATTCATAATAACAATTTTTTAAAGAAAAACTATGTTATCACATTAAGGATAACTTATTTTAAGGCATATAGTATAGAAACCAAAAATGAAATTAATTTGTGACGTTGTGTCAATTTTGGCATCTAATAAAATGTATTAAATTTACCCTTAGGTGAAATTACATTATTTTATGAAAAAAAGAATTTATTTTCGCTTACAAATGAATGACTTTTTACAATTACAAGGTAATTAAATACCCTTTGTTTTTCTATGTGAGCCGTTTCAACAAAACGCTTGGAAACACAAATACGGCAATACAAAAAATTCGTCAAAGATTTATTCTAATTAAAATAATGGAAGAAAATTAAAGATAACAATAGAGTTTGTGGAAGTACAGCTTTAACAATGGTTCCGTATGTGTTAGAAGCTTAAATACGTGAATGAACCTATTATATACTTAAGTGTCGAAATCATTTCTAAGAAAGATTAGCAGAAATCACCAAAGTCATTTGGCATTGAACGTACCTATTAAAACAGAAATCACAATAACTTAAGCCCCTTGTATTATATTTAGTTATTTCACCAAAGATAAGATTTCAGGTGATTTTCAGTAAATATTATCAATTTTTTTGTTACATACATATATGTACATATTTGTGCTTGTGGAACTGACTTATATGTTGACAGTAGCTTTTAACCAAATTAAAAACATTTTCCAGCGACCTTTACAATATTTCAGCCATAATCACGCAAAAGTTACGCAAAACATAAGACTATGAATAGAACCCACGTCACTGGCAACCCAGTGCACCGTCTTAATGTTAACCTTTTATTAGAAGACTTGTCTATGTAAAAGCACACTTAACAACACACTGGAAATAACTTTACACTTAGTATATCATATTATTTAATAGGTTTACATTTATTGTCCCGTTACCCGCCGTAAAAATATTGTATTCTTTGAAAAGTATTCAACAGGTCGAAGTGTATACCAGGTCAAGCTTACCATATAAAACAAAAAAGTAGATTCACCACGATTTACTTGACATTTTGACTCTACAACCTCATAAAAAAAATTAAATTATAAATCCCTACTCTTTATTATTTAAATTATCGAAAGAAAAATGTATGTTCGCATATCCAGTTTTAAAACTCAGCTGATTGGCGAAATATCACATGACAGCATTGTTTTCGAAGTATTATGCGAATATCGCGATGGTTTTCCCTTCTAAGAGCCCTTGAGTTAACTATTCCTACAGTTTTCTTATATCTTTTTGAACAATCATCAATTTTTGGTATAACTGCAAAGGTATTACAATTTTAACTTGCCGAAGTTAGTTTTTATACCCGTTACTCGTAGAGTAAAAGGGTATATTGTATTCGTGCAAAAGTATGTAACAGGTAGAAGGAAGCGTTTCCGACCCTATAAAGTATATATATTCTTGTTCAGGATCACTAGCCGAGTCGATCTAGCCATGTCCGTCTGTCCGTCTGTCTGTCCGTCTGTCTGTCCGTATGAACGCTGAGATCTCGGAAACTATAAAAGCTAGAAGATTGGCATTTTGCATGTAGATTTTAGGAGTTCCTACGCGGCGCAAGTTTGTTTCAAAATGGTGCTACGCCCCCTCTGACGCCTACAAGCCACAAGCTGTGGCCACAGTTTTGATGCTATTATGAAAATTTTAATTGATATGTATTTGTTTCGTCAATACCTATCGATTGGCCTAATAAAAGTTTGCCACGCCCACTCTAACGCCCAAAAACCCATTAAACGCTAAAGACTGGCTAGCGCCTACATTTCCGCCTTTCATGGCCCGTAGCGCCATCTAACGGATGACTTTGGAACAGCTGGCCAAGGTGCTAATTCGAGCGGCGAAAAACATACAAGAAGGCTAATTTATATTAAGTTGTTTAGCTGAGTAACGGGTATCTAATAGTCAAGGCACTCGACTATAGCGTTCTCTCTTGTTTTCAATCTCATTTTAGTTGTAACTTTTTATACCCTTGCCGAGGGTATTATAATTTTGGTCAAAAGTGTGCAACGCAGTGAAGGAGGCATCTCCGACCCTATAAAGTATATATATTCTTGATCAGGATCACCTCCTGAGTTGATATAGCCATGTCCGTCTGTCCGTCTGTCTGTCCGTCTGTCTGTTTCTACGCAAACTAGTCTCTCAGTTTTAAAGCTAACGAATTGAAACTTTGCACACACCCTTCTTTCCTTTGCACGCAGTATATAAGTCGGAACGGCCGAGATCGGCCGACTATATCCTATAGCTGCTATATAACTGATTGATCGGAAATGCCATAACTCTGCTGTTTGTTAAGTTAGGAAGTTGGGACTCTCT